CCAAATCGACGGGATTGCGGAAGGGGCCCCAAGCAGCCACCAGGCACGTCAGAAAGGCAGGAGACGGGACGTCAGCATCAGCTAAACCCTCGCCAGAGACGGAGAACGGGAGCGTGGACCACGATACGCGCGTAGAACTGTCTGGCCAAGGTTACAGACCAGAATTAAAGGTAGGAGAGGTCAGTACACGATGTTCTGCGGTATTCGGCGCACTGCAGGTGCTCGCGGTGAATATCGCGGCACGCTGCTTTTGGTCAGCATGTACTTAGTCTGCTCTGTGGCCGCGGACTTCGTAGCTCGTCGGCTTGGACTTGGGCGGTGCCTCGTGGGGTCGCGCCATCGGCTTGGGTGGCGGCCCTTTGTAAGGTACCTCTGGTAGGCAGTTGTTGTGGAGGCCATCGAGAATGCGCTCGCATCGTGTCTGATGCGAGCGGAGCCTGTCGATGTAGCTGCAGAGGGTTGGGCCCCCCGTGCTGCGCGCGAAGATGATGCGACGGTTGCAGACGAGGACGCGCCGGTCGCCCCGTCCGGATGCCGCGCTGCGCGCTGCAATCACAGCGGCTGCGTGGGTTGGGGAGTAGGCTTGAAACGCGGCGCAGGTCCAGGGTGCCACGGCGTTCTGCGGCACCTTCCGCACCCAGCTCTGCGCCATGATTTCTTCGGGCGGTGGGCAACTGATCGGCGTGTGGAGCACAGGCGGCGGTGGGCGCACTGGCGCGGCTAATCTTACGGCAGGAGACCACACGGTGATCGCTTTCGTGCGCGGGGTACGCGGCGCGCGTGGAGTCGGCGCGTCTTTGGCGATGTAGGCAGTAACTGGTACCTGAGGTGTTCTGCTGGATGCGTAAGGGGGAAGAGGTAATGGACTCTTGGAGGGTAGGGCGTTGGTGGTCGGGCTTGGCGACGCAAGGGCAGCGGCTCGGCTGGGCTGGCGCGCTGGCGCAAGGTCGAAGTTGACGCTTGGTCGTGGCATTGGCATAGTTGCCCGCGGTGCGGTGTAGCGCGCGGTAGGGAGCGGTGGTGCTTCCTTAGAAAATGGTTTTCGGCATGGCAGTTGGGGGCGCGGTCGGCACTGCCGGTCTGTCGCTGAGCTCATCGGGCCCATTGCGGGAGCAATGTGGGCGCTCGTTTCTTGGGCGGCGGCGCAGGTTTGTCTTGTGGGGGCATGGTAGGCGGCGGTGGTCTGTCGCGTTGGTTGTCTGCCGCTTGCGCGTGCTCTTCGCTGGTGCTGTCGCTGTCGGTTAGTGTCGTGGGCATGCTGGAGCTAGTAGTGATGGTCGGATTGTATACTCGTTGAAGTAGCACTGCGGCGCCCCGCACATTAACCGTCCAGTCGCGCCCCAGGCGGCGATCGTCGCTGTGACAGGCGTTGAGTCTTTGGGCCACTTCTTGCAGAGTCGCGTTTGGGTGAGTAGCGCATCTCCTCCTGCCAGGACTGTTTGGAAGTGCTGGTTTGTCGCTATTACTTGAAGCCAGAGTGCTGCGTCGTCGCGGCAGCGGGCCGCGATTGCACGCATGGCGTTGCCGCAACGAGGGAACGCCAGGTGCATGGGCGGCTTGGCCACGGGCAAGCACGCGTCTGTTTGGATTGCGTTTTTAAGTTTGATCCGCTCGGTTGCAATTGTCGGCGGTAGAGCGAACGTCGATAGCGGCGTTCCTCGCGGGTCTGGTCGCAGAGGCGGACGCGGCAGGTATTGAGCGCCGCCATGGCGCGCGAACATCTTTTGTCGCACTTGTTGAGGCATCTGCGCCACCCAGGTAGGAAGTAGGTCGTCGTTGGGAAACCTGTATGAATAGGTGTTGGACTGGTCGTGGTGGTAGACTGCGCAATGACGTCTGTCGTCGTCGTAGCCGTCGGCGTCGGCGTCGTGGGCGCGGCAGCAATTGCCCGCCCGCTCGGGCAGCGCACGTCGTGGCATCGGGTTGGTTCGAGTGACGCCAGGTAGAATTCGCGCGAGTCTGAAGCTCCGTCCATCTCGGCCCATGCGTCGTCGCAGTCGACGCCTTCGTCTGAGGCTGTTGCGTCGCAGGGCAGGTCAGGCATGACTGCGCACAGATTGGTCTGGGCTTGGAGGCGCACTGGCTGCGTTGCTGTTGGCTGCGTCGGCGGTGTGGGCATATGCGCAGGTGGCTGCGGTATGTAGTGGTAGCTGACGTCGGGCCTTGCTTTGTTGCGCTTGTCTTTTTTGCTATTGGAGGAATTGTTGGGGGCGAACTTCTGTGGCGGTATCAAGTTTGCGTGTCCAAGGCATTTGCGTCGCCCCTTGCCCATGTGATCGCAGCGCCCTCTTCCACGTCGCATTGTATAAACAGCTGTTACTTCACGAAGTCGTAGTGCGGATGGTCGGCAGGGATGTCGGTGGGGAGCTTGCAACCGCCCTTCGCAACGATGTACTTGGGCTGTCTGGATGTGACGCGTGGCCCGCGGGAGCGGGAAAGTGCCACGGTCGGTTGTAATTGGGCGTATGCGGGGTTGCTCGAAATACGTGCGGCGCGGTGGAGTAGGTGTAGGACCTGAATGGGCGGTGATACCAAGTATTATTGTGCGCGCGGGCATTGCGGGTTGTCCATCGTTGGCGCTTTCAGCTCGCAGTGGGTTGGTGGTGTTGGTCCATGGCGATGGCCTGGTTTGACCCCTGCTGTGCCAGTCCATTGGTTTAGTAGCTTGCACTCGTAAACAGTTGGTTCTTGTAGCCCCTCGTAGCGAGGCTGCTCGCAGGAAACTGGTGGTGCGATGTGCCTTCTGTGTTTCTCTATGATGCATGCGGCCCACGGTGGATGCAGGGCTGAGGCACCTGAGGTGTGGAGTAAGTAGCTCTGAGCCTAGAATGACATGGTGGTTCGGTCGTAGCTTGGATCGTCGTGCTTGAACTTCTGCGGATGCCGTAGTCTTCGCCCATGTGAAATTCGTACATATTGTCGCTTTGTTGGCAGAAGACCTTGCACGTTTTTTCCTCAAGGCTCTTCTCTGCGCCGTCCTCGTTGTAGTGAGCGTATCTGGGACGTACCATGATGTTGTCAACGTCGCTGTTGAAGTCGTTCCATGTCAGGTGTATGAATGGCACTCGTTGGAATTGGCGCGGAAGGTCTTCGTTGTCGTCGAGTGGCCTTTGGTCAAGTCGGTAGTCGGTTTTACTGTAGAACGGGGAAGTGGGCTGGTCTCTGTGCCCATGGTGTCTCGACGTAGGCCTGAGAGCAGTAGTACTTCCATCCATCGAGAGCTTCCTGTAGTCGCTGGCGCAGCCAGGTGAAGTATTGCCTCTTGATGTCGGGCAGATACACAATTGTGATGTGTGCTTCCCTCTTGGTTTTCGCCAAGCCTTTGGCGGTAGGTACAGGGATGTATTCATAGCCAAACTGGAGGGAGACATTGACGCAGTACCTGTCGATTCTGTCGTCGGTAATCGGGTCCGGTTTGTTGACTTGCACCTGTGTTCGTAATGTCTGTGCGGAGTCGGGTCGTACTTTGTTGGCGTGGCCATCCGTAGTAGATTGTGTTGTTGGGCTCTGCTGCGTGTTTTGGGTAGGGGTGGCAAATCGTCGTTGCCGCCGTCCTCGTACTACTCAAAATGTTCTATGTAGTGCTGTTCGATGAATAGTGTCCTTTCCTTGGTACAGTGCTCGTCTAACTTCAATGAGTAAGTCATGTGGATGAGAATTGAAGCTAGGTCTGTGAACCTCATCGCGGTGACCCATTGGTCGACATGAACGGCATCGGAGGCAGGATGGTATTGCGCTTGCTGCGGTAACATCGCGCCGAGTGGGCAGAGAACGGCGATCATTGTAATGGTCGCTGTTTGAGCCTGGTGCTTACGGCATGGATCACAAGGTTAATAATGCGTAACATATTCTACTGTAGATCAATGAAGTAAGAGCATGTTGCCATGGAAAGCCTGTAGCTGTCCTCCAAGTATATTTCAGGAAAGTTGTGGCTCGATGTAAGACAGTATCTAATGTTCCCAGCTGTCAGTAACCTATGCTTCCACCCCAGGTATGCCCTATGGGACAATCCTGCCTTCCTCCTCCTTCTCCTCCTCCTCCTCCTCCTCCTCCTCCTCCAGCCCCTCACCTGTGCCCCCGCCCTGTTCTCAAAAGCGCGGGAGGCGTTCCGGGAAGCGCGGGTTGCATGTTCCGCTCCCACCGTTCGCCCCCTGCTCTGGTGAGCGCTCCCCCTGTTCTGATGAGCTTCAGGGCCGTTCTGGTGAGCGCTGGGGCTGTTCTGGTGAGCGCTGGCTGTTCGCGGTCTGTTTTTCTCCCAAAGCGGGGGGGTGAGGCGAATCCACCCGCCGTGGCGCTGGCAGCGCCCCGGGGCGGGCAGAACGACACAGCAGAGCAGCGCGGCAGGCGAGCAGGGCAGACCCCCCAACGCCCAGTCTTCTCGTGCTCTGGGCGTGCACCCCGCGAAGCGAGACGAATCTACGCCTGGGTGTGACGTACCGAGTGGCAACCACGTCTGCGCAGCGTATACAGCAGATCCCATTCTTGCGCAAGTGCTGCAGATTGAATTGTCTCATGTTCTCATGTACCTCCCACTCTTGCCCCCCCAGAAGTCACCTCACTTCCGACGACCAAACGTTGTGAACCCGTTGTGGGCTGCAAAAACTTGCCAAAACCGACCGAAATCTATGATTTAGGCCTGAGTGGCCTCTTGGGGACCCAAGGTGGGAATTTAGATTGTGACCAGCGCTGAGGCGATGACGGCGAGCCAGAGTTCCACGCCATAAGCAAAAGAAACAACGTGGGCGCTGGGGTCACCTTCCGTCAACATTCGTTCACGTCAGCCATGCCACTGGCGCATACATGTTCAGCAGGAGAGAGATCAACACAGATGAAGCGTTTGCGCTGTTGTGCGTTGAAAACCTGTTCCAGCCAGATGTGGGGGCAACGATCCAGGCCAGGCGTGCCTGGCGAGAAGACAATATCTCCTCCCCTTTAAGCTGGAGTAGTGGGTCTGACACAGATGGCTCCACGGGGAGAGGTGCAACAGCACTTGCAATAGTCGGCGCCTGGATGCAATAGTTTGCGCGCTGCATGCAGTAAATGCGCGTGGATGCAACTGTGTAACGTTTCCCCACATGCAATATACGTTGCCCGTGCAATAGTTC